AAATATATTCTTCATCCAACAATGTAAATGTCCGCTGCTTCTAAAAAACCTGATTTGTTAACACTGTTTAAACTGAATCGAGATTTTAAAAAACAGAAAATTTAGCAGTGAGTTCACTGCTTATCTTTCCAACGTTTCGCAGTTGAAACTATGATATGAACTAAATTTTCAGAAATTAGTCATGTACTTTCTAAACGTTAGAAAAAACTTATGTGCAAACCTAAATGTGCAGGTGCGCATTGAAGACAATTTCATGTCGCACGGTAAAGTAATTGTTAATTTACGATAAAACATAAATTATTTTTGTTTATTCAATCTTCTAGCAAATCGTTGCAGTCATTTTAGAATACTATAAATATAAAATAAGAGTTTGCTTTAGAAGTTTATCTTTCTACGTAAAGTTTTTGCTGCTTGCATGTTTACAAATACTGCGTAACAGAATATCTCTGCTTCAGCCGTGTGCAAAGCATTTGTAAGTTGCCTATAATTTTTATGATTCAGCTATATAAAATGTTATCTATAATAAGAAACTACTACTATAGCTTCTTTCTCCCGTTTTCCTGATCAAGGAATTCTGGCTTCAAGATGTATGATAGTCAAAACGTAGAAATCAATTAACAAATAGAGCAAAAAAGAATGTCTCGTAAGTGAAAAGATGAAAAAATTTGTTAGAAAGTGATAGAGAAGACCATGCAGAAGCTGGTCTCAAGCCAGTCAAAAAGTCACGGAGAGAGTAGTATTGCTGTCATTCACATGGATTTCGCGCCAAAACAGGGCAAAACATTCAAAAGCAATAAATGCAACATATGATGTTTAAACAAAACTCAATCAAACGTTTTATTTACGCAATTTTTTTATTACATAGCATATTTATTACATAGCATAACAACTTAAACTCTAGAGGAAAAAGTGGTAACTTTGAGCATACTACAATTTTTTTCAAACATAAATTTATCAGAATATTATATTTTTTTAAGTTTTGATCTCACATACACAAATACACACATGCTTGAGAGACTTAAATGTACAAGTAAGGCCTTCAGAGATAGTTTAGTACAGGCAGTGCTTAATTAGAGAGCAGCTGACAAATAAGTAACAAATGAATATTTATGATATTATCATCCTCGTAAGAGTCCATATGCGCTGATAACTTTTGAATGATAAACAGTGTTATTGCACAAATGACAAGATCGTTTACAAAATGTTAACATAAATTTACTTCCCGTATTACATTCTCCAATGCCTGCCCAATAACTACAAAAAAGATTCTTGTCTATACAGTCTAGCTCTTCACTTTTCTCACGCCGTGTCGTATTATCTGAAAAATTTACAGCTCTTCGAATGGTTACATAAAATGAAGAAAGGTAACACACTTTTTACTCGAAAATGCCATCAATATTATTCACTGTCGCAATTATATCTACTTCAAGATTAAATCACATAAAATCATAGAAGAGTATGATTTTTTTAAATATTTAAAATTATATTTATTACTTTAATACTTACTAGTTTTCGAATGTGGACAAAGTCCACATGCTTTTCTACAGTAATGAGTCATATATTTCAGTGAATGTTCGCAATGACCAAGTTGTTCCCACATTTTACAGTGAGCATTCAAATCTTCACAAACTATAATTCATACATTAATGCCTTGAAAAGTTATTAATACTGTTTAACTAACAATTTAGTTATTTTCATAAATGTCATCTAGGAAATTTTCGACTGCAGTCTGTTAACTTCACAAATTTGCAATCGAAGGCATATGTAAAACCACAATAAGCTTGAAAAAAGAAACATTTTGTGCATGTGTGCAGAAGTAGGTTACTTATGACAATATTTTATTTTTATTCCACCATTTGCTGCCTTGTAAATTATTTTTGCTATTGAAAGCTTACTTGCGAAAAAACATCAGAACATCACAAAAGTATTTTTTTCACATCATTTTATACCTGTTAGCATTAATTGTCATTTAAATTTTTTGGCGAATATTTTAATTTAGTCATGTAATTAATTTTCGTAGAAATGACAAATAATTAACTTGAGTCATTTTGCACTACAAACTTAAGAACTGAAAAAACGCGTGAATCTGATAACAGAGCGTTTTTACCATTACTTCAAGTTTTGAAGGTAACCTGTAATTTTTGCTGCTTCAGTAGTTGCAACAGTATTTTCAAATTTAATCGTAGTTGGAGGTTTTTTAGTTCTCAATGGACGTAAAGTTTTTCCATGCGGTGATGTTGTCATGAGTGGACTTTTGCTGGTTTTAGAAGTGGTTAAATTATCATCAGTAGCCAAACTTTTAGCATCTGTTGCAGTTCGAGTAGTAACTGTTGTCGTTGGTTGATTGCAGCGGTAAAGTTTATTGATTTTCTGAGCGTCAATAACACTCAGCCTGTATCGCTGTCCAATTTCTATACTACGATCCTAAATTTTAAGTCGGCAACAATACGAATAAGTGCTGATAATTCATTATTATTATTATTTTGATTTTTAGAAAAAGCCTTATTATCTTATTAATTCCCATTTTAATTGTTAGTGGCAGATTCAGATTATTCTCATATAATTAAGTTGTTGATCGAAATAATACTCATTTAAATTGTTAAAAGACTCAAAAATTTCAATGGTTAAATTATTTTATGTTTGAACTGATGCAATTGATTACGAATAGCAGAAATTTTAAAAATTTAAATTTAAATAAAAAATGAAGTGATCTTTCATGTTTCAGTTTTTATTAGTTCTAAATCATTTTACAAAAATAAAACAACCAACTTTTGGTAAAATGGTTGGTTTGCCATTTTTGGAAAATGCAAGTTTATGATAATGCATGATAGAATCATAATCATATGGCATTCCGAGCGTATCAACCACTTTTCTTGGATATTTCTCAAAATTTCGTAACATTCCTGAACTTGATTGTAATTTACATTTTCTAGGAGTGATTCTGAATCTATCCATTCATAAATTAATGTCTGCAGTTATTACTGTTTTCTTAAGAAACAAACTTGATATATGTATAAACTGATTTCAAAATTATATCTAGTTGGAATAAATTATAGATCTTAAAATTTAGTCTGATTACAATTAGATCAAATGTTAAGGATACCGAATACCAGGTCGAATGTTTTCGTCAATGATATCAACATATTGATCGCGATCAGTACGTGAATGTTCATGAAAAAATCCAAGTGTGTGCATTAATTCATGTGCTATAATTCCTTTTGCAAAGCACTTGTCAACTTCTAATGATACTGTCTGATTGCCACCAGCTCGTCCAACATAAGAAGAGCATCTGAATTGTTTCGAAGTAAATTTTTAATAGTTTATAATAAAAATATTCAATTAAAATTACGAGTTACCAAAAAAATTGACGCTCAGATTACTTTTGTGCACTACTTAACCACCGGCAACAAGCACTTCAAAATAATTTTGAAGAATAAAGAAGAGTGAGAAACAGTCAATCGTTAAATAATGTTTGAATGTAAATTATTATTCTTTTTCTGTATTTTTTGACAGCATATTGCAAGAGTAGTATAAAAATTTAACCCAAAAGCTTTATTCCTTTTAATAAAAATGTAATCTTTATCCTGGTCAGTTTTTGGAGAAAACTTGATGCAAGTTTTGTATTTGTATTCATCGAAAGCTTGCGCAATGCTTGCTCGCTGTCTGAAAAATTTTTGCATGTTCTTTTTTTTGAAATTTACATGCTTTCAATTCCTGTGAGCTATTTCTTAAACAAAAGGATTGAAATAATTTGTTTGTTTTTGAAGTTCATGCTTTTTTGTGTTGACAAGTGGTTTAATTATGCAATAGCTAATTTGAAAAATAAATGAAAAATGAGAACTCGATTAGAATATAAGTGGTCAGTTTCAATTTGAATGTTCTTTAATTAAAAAACAAAAGTGAAATTTTACATTGAAGACATTCCTTCTTCAAGCATATATGGCACTCGACCATTAGGCCATAGCTTATCTTTATATGTTGCCAAATTTAACGCACTATGATACTGGAAAATTAAATAATATGTAGAAAATTAAATAATAATATATGAGTTTGCACTTTCTACAAAAAATTTCTAGTAGAAAATAGCTTGATCGTTCAAATCATTAAAAAAGTACCGGAATTTTAAATATGTATTCATATGAATCCAGTGGTTCATCTTTTAAAAGTTCAGAAGGTGCTGGTACTGTTGCAATGCCCTGAATGTCACCCTCAAAAAGTTCTAAATTGAGAATTGCATCCATTTGCTCCTCACTAATCGTTTCTACTACAAATTTTTTCAGAACTTTTATTTAACTTGCAATCAAAGAATAAAACTGTCAGTCAATAGTTTTATCAAATAGTAATTTGAAAGTGACGAAACATTCATATGCTACTGAATCCTTCATAGTATGCTTAAAATCTACAGTGCGATTAAACACTGCGCATTCTGTATTTGGGATACGATGAAATCAAAAAGACTGGAATACAAGTATAATCATATTTTAGCAAGAAGAAGGATATTGAGTATAAACTGATTGATGTGAAAAAAATATTAAAAGATAAAAATGAAAACAATCAAAATTCATTACTTTTTGAAGTGCAAAAGGAAACACAAAAATGCAAAACATTTTTTGATCCAATTAATTGCAAAAAATTGAACATGAAATTTAGAAAATAATTTTTCAATTTCATTCAGAATCCTCTCTTCTGGTTTAAAAATTTCTAATCTATTCAAATTTGCAAAAGCAAAATATAATACTCTTGATTTTGAAAAAAATTTTTCTGGGGCAAAATAGTTTCCAGCGCAAAATTTATAACAATTTATGTCAATATCCTTGTTACAAAAAAAGGAAAAATCATCTGAAATTATTCATGATTAAGTATTTCCTAAAGAGTTATGGCTGAGTAAACAACTAAATAAATATAACTGAATCAACACAAATTAATAAGTAAATGAATAAATTTGAGCTGGAAATTTTTTCGTATTTGTAATTTCGATTCATTAAATTTGAATGGGCCAAAATGTCTTTATATGAACAAAAAAATGATTGTTTAACAGGGATTTTATTTTATCATAAAAATATTACTTGGAGTGATTTCGGCGAGATCGAAGTCTTGCGGTTGTAAATAAGTCTGTCCAAAATCTAAACTTTCCCAACTTTTAAGCAAATTGAAGTAAGCTTATTCGTTGATAATGAAAATGGATATACTTTAAATGAAATTATGATTCACGTTAAAGTACAATTTTTTCTTAAGTGAGAACTGTTCTAATTTCAGTGTCATAGTTGCGCTATTAGATTTTTTATTTCTTATCTTAGTGAATGAAATGCACGATATTAATGGCTCTATTTTGGCTTAAATCAAACTTAATTATATACCCATTTTAATTCTTTGTAATAACTTGTGCTTTATTACTATATAATTTATATGAAATAATGAACTATACAAAAAAACGTCAAGGAATCACGAAAAAGATCTTAATATTGCATACCAAACAATGACTTATGTTGATCAGCATCAAGATAACTATGCATAAAATCACTAGTTATCACTGATGTTAACACGTAATGATAAATTAGATGATGAATAATGAAGAAAAGCATTGCAGTAGTTAGCTAGTAATTATAATGAGCAGCTCCGTGGGTAATAAGAATAGTTAAAGAATATAAATAAAGCAATACTGTATGAAATGGGACGTAAAGAATTTGTCTTGAGATTAGTAGTTTAGTAAAGAAAAGAATATATAAAGTGTATTTCTTTCACGAATAATGTTAGTTGAACTGATGATTGCTTAGGTCTCACCGATAGACAGATGGACAACACAAACTGTGATGAGCGATACTAAACTAAACTACTGCTTACTTTGGTCATTGCTAACCTTTTTACCAACCAAACAAATAAATACACACCAAACTAGCTCTTTCGCAGTGGACTCTACTAGACGGTTCAATTTCAAAACTGGTCATCACTAGCAAACCCTCATGCTATTGTTGCGACTAATACTACTTTCACCACAAATGATACGACTCTTCTCAACTGAATTGCATCAACGACTTATAAATTTGTCAGGAACGAGTATACATACATACGTACGTACCTCACAGCTTTTATAAAAACTCTATTCATACAGGAGAAAAAAAAACCCTCCTTTTGTCATTCAAGCAAATGTTGACATGGACCCTTGCAGCTAACAGAAGTCACGCGACTTTGAATATATACATTTCTTTTCGCAATGTTACCAGATGCTTTCGTTGCTCAAATGCACTTCAAATCAAGTCTACTTACTTGTCCACTTCACATTTTCAAGTCGCAGTTATGCTTTGAAGATAGCTTTATGTTACCTTATTTTCTCTACTATTCCAAAATGAAGACCTCTCGTATGCCTTGAATATTTCCACAAATCACCACCATAACAAAGACCGATCGGCTGACGAAACGAAGCAAATCAATCGTAGAAAATGATATATGCCTTCTTAGTTTCTTGGAATCATGAATTCAGACTTCTTCCAAGGGATCCGAACAAAAAGAAATAATTTGCAATTTGCCTATATCCCACGGCCAGTACACCACGAAAGTACTTTTATAGGATCTATGTTAAAGTTCTTGCAATTGCTCTCAGCGTTCTGAGATATATTACCATAACAGAAAAATCATTAAGCATGTTAACAGTCATTTGCTTTCTGAATCAAAGCTACACATCGATTACTAAATCCACACATCATGCAGGAAAAGAGGAAAAAAAATTAAGACTTTATACAGCGGCTGTTTTATTTAAGACTGGAAACAAACAATAAAATAATACAGTCAAAGCAGGCTAAAACACCGAAAAATGAATTTCGGAAAAACAAAAAACTTTCACAGCATTCACAAGCTACAAATAGAACAGAAATTTAGCTTTCACAACTTAATGCATCTATTTTGTACAAGATGAGCTTCATTTCACACATGAACACAGGTAAATTCCCGAATATACACAGACCTACTGCTTAACACTGAGTATCGAACAGAAATATAGTAGAAATAAAGAAAACGATACAGTAAGTATCAAAGATCTCAAATTTAATCACATTTGACAATTCCAAAAGCTGGTTGACTTGTGTAAACCATGTAAAGAAAACCGTCTTCATCAACTTCCTGCTGATATAGCTGATACATATTCATACTATTTGAAACCATGGATTTTTCATTGACTAGCAGGAAAAACGTTTGATCAGGATGGAGCTGCAGTCGCCTGAAATGTTAATACCATATTTTAACTTCAAATTGGAAATTATAAAGTTGTGATGAAGAACATTTACAATGCCTAATCACATAAGGTAAGAACCTTGACAATCTTAATGAACGCATAATGGTACAAGATAAAAATGTTAGTTTTGAATGCATATGTAAACCGAAGAAGAGAAATCATATACAACTGTTTAGATCTAGGCTTAGAAAATTTTAAGTATACTATTAGCAACCTTCGCACTATTTGCATCAGTTCAGCGATTGTGATATGATCGGGTACTAGAAATTTACAACGATCTAGAAGTGGCAAATATTTTTCGCCTTCAAATCGCTCGATTACGACTGGAATCTTATTCGGCTGTTGTTGTCTTGCCTCTGCAGCATCATTTGCCCGTGTTGCTGAACTTTTGTATGATTAAAAAACTACTGACTCTCTGCTAACAATTTATAGCATTTTATCAAAAATCAAAGACCTAAAAGTGAATTAACAACCATCAAGACATGTTGCAGTAGAAGGAATATGAAACCGATTTTCTCAAATTCCTGCCTTCTAACAGCACGAATACATCTTCTACACTCTTAATTTCGTGAGATAAAAAAATATCTAAATAAAAAATATATCCTTTAAGATCTACAAGTGCTACAACTTTTATTCAAACAACAGTGACAGTGTATACAGTGATATTTTCCCAAAATCCCCAACTATATTTAAAGTTTCAGCTTATTTTCAGCAAATCGAATAAATTTGCGCAACAACACAGCTCAATTATTGTACATCTTTCAAATAAACTATGGTCTAGGATTGCGGATAAAAAAAGGAGAATAGAATGCTCAAGAAAAATGAAATGCTTGAGTTCCAATTTCAACAACATACTTTACTAATTTCCTCTCAGTTTATCACGAACACTTTATGAAGGAAAGATATCAAAATCTTAATTGAAATTTGACAGTGTAGTAATTACCCAAAATCCACTAAAAATGTTTACAATGTGATTTCAAGTTGACGATTAATTATCATACACGTATATTGCCGGTGAAACAAAGAGTTCCTACTATATAGAAAATAAATTTGTTTGAGTTACTAAATGCCAACAGTATTTCCATAATATAAAATAATAAAAAACTATAACTTTTAATAGTAATAAAAACAGCAACATCAAGTAAATTCATGATCTCAATCAAAACATGAGTTGCTTTATCACTGAAAAGCATACCAAATGAATTTCGCTCCTTAAATGTTGGAACATATCCACTGAATGACATCCTTCTAGTATATCCGCTACAACTGCGGTGCACAAGTTCCTCCTCTAAAGTCTGTTTTTATGTTCCTTCTTTGTTACAAGATCAACTACCACTACTGAAATATCTCATGACCATGTTTTGTGTTGTATATATATATATAAAGAAAAATATATATATAAAGAAAA